AGGGGAGGCTGCGCATGCGCAGAGCGTCGGGAGCGCTCACTGCTGCCATCCCGTGTCCGAAAATCGGTACTGCAACGGGGGGGGGGGGGGGGGGGGTTGCTCCCCTGCTCCAGCCCACAGCATTGGTCCTGAGCGGTGCCTGCCCAAGGCAAGTGCCAGGGCCCCCCCGGGTGCAAAGGGAAAGGGGTTGGCCCTGCCAGCTCCAGGCGCCTCCTGAAGTTGGCACCTCCTGAAACCAGCACCCAGCTCCGGAGCTGAGTCCGTGCAGCCAAGAGCAAGAGCTGCCTGCTGTGGGGAAACCGTGGAGGAGCTCTAGAAGGACAGAGCTGGGACGGAGTCAGCGGATGCGGTTCACAGCTCCAGTTCACCCCCCAGTCTTACTTCTCACAGAGGTGCTCGGCACACCCTGCCCTGGGTGGCTCGTGGGAGAGCTAGGGTGACCCCGACATCCCAAACCCTCCTGGCAGCAGCCCAGACGCTCCCACAGCAGGACCCTCCTGCAGCCACTCATGTGGTCCCTGAGCCAGGCCCACCTGTGCAAACACCCAGGGACACGTGCGAGCAACACCCTCACACACGGGCGCGTGCGGGGACAGGGCCATTGGCGCTCGCACCCTGAGCGGTGGCAGTGCACGCCTGGCTGTGCCGACAGGCACGTGGATGAGCTCGTTCCCCCGCACATGAGGGGCTCACACGCGCCAGCATGCGGGTGCACCCCGCTGGCACGCACGCCCAGCACGGGGGACACGTGCGGGCTTGCTATCCTCATGCCCCCCAGGCTGTTTGCTTGCACAGATGCCCACGGCCGAACGCCCCGCTTATCCACATCCATTGAGTGTTCGCAGGCGCATGCGCGTGGCCGGGAGTCCCCGGGAGCCCCGCGTGCCTCCGCTCTCGGAGCGCCGCTCTGGGCACGCCGGCAGGGAATTTCCAGCTGCAAAGCTGCAGCTGACAGATTTAGAGGCTCCCGCCCTGACGCTCACCGGGCCAAGTTAATCGTTCACCAGCGCCCTGCTTGCCCTGCCTTGCCCCGCTTGTGGGCTGCGGTGGGTGCGCAGGGACCCCGCTGCTCTGCCCCTCCCCCGGGGATCAGTGCCCATGGGCATCGCCTGGGCCCGGCTGCACAGTGACAACCTGGTGGCCTTTGCGGCTGTCACAAGCCCTGCGTTTGCCCGGTGCAGGGGGACCCGGGCTGCTCCAGTTATGCAGACGTGGCTGGCGCCGCGCCGGCC